ACACGAAGCTTCTTGCGTATTTGGCGAATGTGGATGTTATGATCGAGGATAAGGACAATGCATTGTTATTGTTGAGTTCCTTACCAGATGAGGAATATGAGACCTTCGTTCTTAGATGAGGAATATGAGACCTTCATTCTTACCCTAATTAATGAGAATGCGTCTCTTTCGTATAGTGAGGTTACCACTACTCTTATAAATTATCATCTAAGAAAGAAAGATAAGGAGTCTTCAAACGACACAATAGCAGAGGCATTGACAGTAAGAGGGAAAAGTCTAAACCGGAAGAATTAGAAGTACAGTCTAGAGTAGGGCATCCTACAATTGACAAAGATCAGTGTGCTTGATGTAAAGAGACTGATCATTGAAAAAAAATTGTCTAAAGCTCAGCGAATGGATGAAGAACAAGCATAAGTGAAAAGGAAAACAACCATCATCAGAAGCAAACATCGTCAAATCGGATGGTAATATTTCTGACTCATCTCTTTTTTTGCTCTCTATCAGTCCTACAGGTTGCTATTCGGAGGAATTTGAGTGAATGTTGGATAGTAGTACAACCTATAATGTGTGTCCTAAAAGAGAATAGTTCTCCAGTTTTAAGAAGTTAGATAGTGATGTGGTGTACATGGGTGATAACCGTACATGTCAGATCCTTGGGATATGTAAAATTTATATTAAGATGTATGATGGGATAGTTAGAGAGTTATATGGTGTGAGATATGTTCCTTCCTTGAGGAAGAACCTGGTCTCGATTGGAGCTTTAGCTGGAGAGGATCTGAAAGTTCGTATTGAGGACGTGGTTCTCAAGATTGTCGAGGCTCTCATATTGTGATGAAGGGTGTCAGGATGAGTAACTTGTACTACTTGACTGGAAGTACGATGACAGATGAAGAGCTGCCGACTTCTATTGATTCGACTAGACTGGGACATTTGAGGTCGGGCCATTCCAGTATTGATTTGGAGAAAGGTGCATTGACCTATAGTATGAAGTTCAGTGAATATTTTGATGTGATCAAAAAGACCGAGGTGAAGTTTGGCACCTCTATTCACCAAGCTAAGGGCCTTCTAGATGGAGTTCATGTGGGCGTTTGGTGACCTTCTCAGGAGGCATCATTGGGAGGTAATAGATATATGGTTTCCTTTATTGATGACTATTCTAGGCATGTTTGGGTTGCAACCAAGTCCTGTTTGAGTAAAGTCCTAGTAGTCTTCAACTAGTGGAAGAAGTGTATAGAGACTAATACAGACAGAAAAGGCAAAGTACTCCGTTTTGATTTTGGTAGGAAGTACAAGAAGGAACTGTTTCTGTATTTATATCGTGCTCAGGGCATTTTGAGACACTTTAATGGAAGGGAAATCTTGGGGCAACTAGACGGGGTGAAAATTTTGAAGAATTGTGCCTTGCTAAAGAAGGAACGGTGTTTGTTGTCAAGCAGAAGTTTGCAGAAGAGGTTCTAGGCTGAGGCTTTGACATATTCGGGTCATCTTATATACAGGTTGTCATCTGTTATAATTGGAGGTAAAACTCCATTGGATAGTTAGTCTGGTAGTGTCACTTTTGATGAGGCTTCGATGATGGAGCCTAACAGATGGAGAGTTTTGGACATATCATAGATGTATCGCAGCGGGTGGAGAGTGATGTCACTTCACGTTTGATGGAGATTACTCCTTATTCTTCAGACCATTCTGTATTATTTGAGATTCCAGCTAAGGTGACACGGTTTGAGGATCAGATAGTTGATGTTGATACATATGATGAGTTTGAGGATCAGGAACAAAGGTTCAGGATCAGATTTTGAGAGTAGCAGGTAGACACAGCTCAAATTTGGCTATGATTGTAATTGTATTTCTTATACATATAGAGTTGAGGGGTTAAGCTCCAAGACAGAGTTGGTGGGGAGAAATGTAAGTTTAGAAGAGAGTTTGTCTTTTCACTTTGAGGCCAACAGGGGCGTGATCAGCTGCAGATTAGTTAGTGTTGATGATCGAAAGGTTGGTGAATGATTGAGAATTCTTCTAGTTGATTGAGATCGTTTGTAGCCAGTTGGATGAACTACGTGAGGCTTGATTCCTTGGGCAAAAGGATACGTATGCGATCATTTTTATGCAGCCGGTTTGATGAGTTGATACCGACATTTTGGAGTTTGTTCGCATTCTTATTTGGGTACTCGACTTATTGTGGATTGAGTCGGTTGCCGTGGATTATTCCACATCATACTGGACGTAACAAGTGAGACGTTTGATTTGGTTGGTGTCGGCTCAGTTTAAAAAAAAATTCACCGAGGTGGAGAATTGTAGAAACGGGAACGACGGCGACGAAGTTCAGGCAATTTGACAAAGAGAACATTTTGGAGGCCGTACGATCGACCGCGATGACTTCGATGGTCGACCGGAAACGTGCACGAGTACAAAGTGTGTTTCTGTACTCTGGCCGGTCGACCGTCGCGACCGACCGCCAAACCCTGTAATTGATTTTTGGTTTCTGTCGTTTGCCACGGTCGACCGTGACTTTGTCGACGTTGATTTTTGGTTTCTGTCGTTTGTCGCGGTCGACAGCGACTTTGTCGGCGGTCGACCACGAATCGGGTTTGGGCCTGGGCTTGGTTTCATGTTCTGTTTGGGTCTGTGTTTTGATATATATTGAAACACGATTTTAGGGTTTTGTATTGATCAGAATTTGTTCTGAATTAATGAGAGGGATAAGAGGTGATTTTGAGCTTTCTTGTGAGAGCAAATTGGTGAGAGTTGAGAGCTTTGTTGAGAGATTAATTTGAGAGTTTGTGAGTGATTTGTAATCTCTATTTTGTGTTCTCTCTCTCTAATAGTGAAAACCCCTCCCCTTCTTTCCCCGTGGACGTAGGCAACTTGCCGAACCACGTAAATCTCTTGTTTTGAGTTTGTGCTGTTATTTTTTATTTGATTATGTGTGTGCATTCTCTCTCTCGGCAACTTTGTGGATTCCGCTGCGCCACCGCACTACACGTTCATCTGTTTTTCCTCACTTTCTCTCATGCTTTTCCGTGCATTATAGTGTCAGTGAGCTCTCATATCGTAGTCAGGAGCAGATCTATATTACAGTCCAGCGTGGGCCCAACGCCACCCCCCCCCCATGCCCCCCAAAAAATAATTGGGAGGAAAAATAGGGTGGTTTTTGTAAAACCTCCTCCCTTATAAATTAAAATATATTCATTCTACATAATTTTTGTCTTCATCTTTTGAAATTAATATTTTGAAAATATTGACGTTGGTTATTCTACTCGTTTTGTTTGGGTTGTGGTGTATCTCTTGTGAATAAAGTTACATTAAGAAAAAAATTTCTGTCTATCTCTTTTGTACGCGGCCCCTAGAATTAAAATCCTAGATCCGCCCCTGATCATAGTAGACGGTAAAAAATACCTCTATGGGTCTACAGGAAATTTGCCTACGAGAAGAGTTCGCACGCCCAATTCTCTGGCACGGACCTAAACCGCGTAGACGTCGACTGTACTCAAGTCCAGGTTCGCCTAACGGTCGACTCGCCAGCATGAGTCAGGGTCGATCAGGATGGCAGAAATTCGCTCTTCGCTCAACTCGAATCCGCCAGCAAGCCCCAAAACCGTCAATACAGCTGGATATCCACTACCCCACGTGCTGAGATGGATCTTCCCATCTCTCTCGACCCGAAGGGAGAGAGAGCACAGTACCCCAGGACCGTCAAACGGCCGCTCGCAGTGCGCACAGCGCGAAGGGACTGGACAGGTGTCGAGTCAACCTGAGCATTCATAAATGCGACTCACCTCGGCTGTCTGAGCCAAGAGCTGGATCCGCCGGCACTCGGCAAGCTGGCTAGACCCACTCGAGTACTGTACACCTACTTCACCGCCTCTCCTGACCGGAAAGGAGAAAGCGTCGTGCTCAAAGCACGCCGGGCGGTCACGCACAGTACAAGTGATCGGACAGACACTTCATCGATCTGCGAACTCATAAATGCGGTTCATTAACGCTGGTCAAATCCACTCGGATAGCAGTCGTTTGTTGCCTCACATACTAGAATGGGCCTTCCCATCGTAGGTGACAGGACATAGAACACAATCCCTGGAATGACCGTTCATGGTATCGAGGAACGGCGAGACGTCTCTGAAGAGGATGTGGTCACATCCCACAATTCAAGGAGAAGTCAAGCTGTCCTTCTTTCATTTAAAAGCCCCTTCCAGCACGATGGAAGAGAGGTCGCAAAACTTGGAGAAAAAAAGAGTTGAGACCAAGCTGTTAGCAAATCCTTGCATTACAGCACTGCTGCCTAGTTCCGGGCTCCGATCGCCGACGAACCAAGCAGACCCGAACTCCATTGCCCCGAGCTTCTACTGCGAACTGAAGCTCTCCAGCAACCTCATTCAAACGGTCCAAGGGAAGCAGACTCGACCCGACCATCGAGCGAAGCGTCCTATAGCCACCTAAAGTCCCCACACAAAAACAAAGAGGGCCTTCCCTCTGCTTCTGTTGTAAACATTTGATTTGTTAGTTTGTAATAAGCTTTCTTATAAATACAAACGAAACTCCTTTCTTCGGAAGAATCAAATTTTCACCCTACATACGCGGCCCCTAGAATTAAAATCCTAGATCCGCCCCTGATCATAGTAGACTAGTGGCTCTCTCTCAACCGCTCCTCCCCGTTAGTTGTCTATAACTATAAAATAATCTGAGCATGAGTTGGCGGTGATCATCAGCGCGTAAAGCCTTCAGGGTTAAGCTAATACTAATTATATACCATTACCTTATATATGCTGATGCTGATGCTGATGCTGATGTTATTAATAAAAATGACTTGGGGTTGAAGCATTAATTTGTTCAATGGACAGGAGCGATGACAAGCTGGTCCCCTTCGAGTCACCTAACCCACTTCATTCCCTTGTCTCCGAAGCATCCGATCCAAACCCGTTCACGTCTCGACCCACACAAAACAAATTCAAACTTGACGAATGAATATTATCCACCCACCGTCGATCTCTTTATTAGCTGCCACTCTTGACTCCTCCATAACCAACCAGCACGAGCGATATATATACGTACGCATACCCCTCCGATATTTTCCTCGGCGCAAAACCCCGACCATGTCTCAAACAGTACTGCTGCTGCTTCTCTTCCTACTCTCCTCCCTCTCCCCCCTCTCCTTCTCCGACCCAGACCCAGTCCTAGACTTCTGCATCCCAGACGCCGGCCGAGGCCCGATCCAGCTCACCCACCTACCCACCTACCCATGCAAGAACCCCCTCAACGTAACCTCCCACGACTTCACCTTCTCCAACCTCAAACCCCCCTCGCATCTCTCCGGCTTCGCGGGCACCGCCGTAACTCCGGTCCAGTTCCCCGCCCTCCACACTCTCGGCGCCTCCTTCGCACGCGCAGACTTTGAACCGGGGGCGGTCAACCCGCCGCATTACCACCCGAGAGCGACAGAGACCGCTTTGGTCGTCGAGGGAGCGGTTTATTCGGGGTTTGTGGACTCGGGTGGTCGGGTTTATGCGAAGGTGATCGAGAAAGGGGACGTCATGGTGTTTCCAAGGGGTATGGTGCATTTTCAGATGAATGCTGGGGAGGAGAGGGCGAGTATCTTTGCGAGCTTTAATGGGGAGAATCCTGGGGTCGTCAAGTTGCCGGTGACTGTGTTTGGTTCTGGGATTATGGAGGAGTTATTGGAGAAGGCTTTTGATTTGAGTGAGAGGGAGGTTGAGAGGCTGAAGAAGATATTTGGGTCCAAGTAAAAGTATTGATTCAGTGGCTTGTGTCTACTACGAGTTTGCGTGCGCGCAATTTCATTAGGTATATATATGTCTGGTCAGAATTTTTGTTTAAAAATATTTATTGAGTAGGAAAAAGTCATGATTTTTATTAATTTAATTAAATTAATTTTGTCATTTGTTGAGACAAGGGTTATCTTGAGAAATTAATTCCATCTCCTCCAAGGATTCACAATTTTCTTTGTTGTGGTACTAAGAAGCATCAAGTTTGCTGTTTGCTAGCGTTATCCTATTCAGATCACTATACAGTTCATTGTATTACCATGATTGCCTGGGGTTTAGTGGATGAGCACAATTTATTGCAGGTATTATACACTTTCTGAGTGTAAATCATGATTAAGATTGGCACATTGGATGTTCAATGCAAAAAGATCCCATGACGAGGATCCAAGTCTGGATTGCATCTCATTCAATTTAGAAAGCTTAAATCCTGGAATTACCCATCAAACAAGCAGCTGCGTGATTTTAAATAAACCTCCAGCCTGATTACATGAGCCCTTCCACAAGTTCCATTACAGAAGAGCAAACAACATTTCATTCCACGAATCCGGCACTCCAGGCAAACACCAGTGACTACAGTCTGAAGTGCGCGTTACCGACTCCATCCTCCTCTGGGTATCGCCAGGAATCCTAAACACCGATGGATGCCCATCCCTTCGAAGCTCAGACATGCTCGTGATTTCTTGAAGGTACACAGGAAAGCTCATCTTCTTCACTACTTCTCGTAGCACCACCAGTTGTGCGGGAACTCTCGGCGTGTAGCCTGAGAATACCATTGGCTCCTTCTTCTTGTAGCATTGCCATCCATTATCCCTGCAAAATGCAGTACATTAACATGATAGTATTACAAATTGAGCAACATTTCAAGTCAAAGTATTACCGGTTGTGGCGAGCAGAGAGGCTTCGAAAGATGACTCGAGTTCGCTGAGGGTCTAGATTCAGGTCTACCCACTGAGCCCATGTTGTGAGCCCTTTCTCGTAGGCAACAATCGGGTTCAAGTCAGTGAATAGACTATCACCTTCTGAGTAGTAATCCCATCTGCATGCAAACGCTCTTTCCTGTTATCAAAGATCATATATATATATAATTATAACGCGATCGAGGAAATGGTAGAGTCCGTAAATTCTTACGAGCTCCATTTTCCAGTGTGAGTCCACCAGTGAGCTGAATCAAACACCAGAACGTCAACATCCCTCCAGTATTTAGCATTCTCTTCAATAGAATCCAGACGTAGAACTCTCTTGTTCTGCGCATCTTCCTTCAGTTCTACAAGAAGAGGAGCCCAGAAGAACTCGATCGATGCCTCGAAGTCCTAGTAATTTTCATTAGGCGGTTCGTCATGATTCTGAAAGCAAATTGAACACTAGAAGTAACTTTATTTGGTATTACCAGCGCGTGAAAAGCCATAGATGGACCATCAGAAGAAACCAACTTCATCTCAATTGGGATCACTGCTTCAACCATGCACACTAGAGACTCCCACTGGTTCCTCATTATGGAATCCCCTACAAGCATCACTCTCTTCCCTCTAATCCTCCCTAGAAAATCTAGCGCATTGAACCTAGCACCACAAACAGCAGCATCTTAATGCCTGCTCATTAGCAACCGAAAAAGTATCCAGTGATCGATCCCGATTCATGGTATTAGCGATGCACCAAAGTGATCTCTACCCTTGGATCATGACACAAAATCGCCAAGTCCACTGATCCAACGAGAGACATCCATTAGATGCACCCTTAATACAATGGAACTGGGGTCACTGTAGGGGCTTAACATCTGTTACCTTGGAATTAAGCAGTGGTGAGGCTTCCACCTCCACTTCTCATAATCTGAATCCGGCCTGCCATTTCTCCGGCAACTATATTCAGTACTGAGATAAGGGCAGCTCGCATCATAGAGAGGGTAAGAAGCGTCATAAACCCATTCACCGATAGACAAGTCGCAATTCCGTGGCAATGCTCGGTGAGTCTGAACCAGATCGACCCCATCCTCTTTCGCATCGGTCCAACCAATCAATTCCGAGTCTAAACTGGCAAAAGCAGGCTCCATACAGAGCCATAGCGTAGTAATGCAGATGAGAGAATGAAGTCTGTGTATTTGGTTCACATTCATTTTGCACAGAAATGTAGTCCAATATAGTCCAGGGGCATGAGAAAGTTATATAGATAATGAGCTTAATTTGTATGAACGGGACTTTTGCCATGAGTTGCGGTGAAAATGTGTGAGATTGATCGATCATGATTTTGTTGGGCCTCGCCTGAGGTTGGGTGATCTCATTGAGATGCTTAGTGTGCTTGCCTTTAGTGTTGGGTAGCTAAAAGATGAGGGGCATGGGTTGTTTATAATTATGGACCCATTTTTATTCATGATTGTGTTGGCTAAAAAGGTGGAGTGAACTTTACTTAAATTGATTGTAATTAAAGACCGAAGGCTAAATTGCGGTGAGTTTTGTCGTTAAAACTAAATTAATGGATCCGGGCCCCGAATAAACTCTAAGGGCGTGTTCATCAACCTACAAAAATGGGATGAGTTTAAACTTGGTCTTATTCTGAGATGAAATCTGATTGGGAAAAAGTGGGCCAGAATTGACCTAGTTTTCCCTGGGCAACAAAAGACCGGTTAAACTTGTTCTTTTTTGATCCAGCTCCCTCATGGATCAAATTAAAGATAACTAGTTCTTCTTAAAACTGGGTCAGGATCAGTCTTGACCCAGTTTTGAGAAGACTGCCAAACTAACCCTAGTGATCATGCATATAAATAAGCTCAGCTAAAGGAAAAATTCAACCGATTAATCAATCCTCCTGATGGTGTGAGGGCTTGAATTGGAGCTCTCTCTCGGATAGAATTGTAGTGTTTGGCAAGTGTATGATCCTATGGTTGAAATAGTCTCGACCACTAGATTAATATATTTGAGGTAGGGATGCAAAAAAAATATCGACTAAATTATCAAATTGGTATTAAAAATAGTACTCAATGGCCAGACTAGTATTAAAATTATCTTCGACACCAATAATGTATTTAAACTTATACGATGAGACAAATAGGCACAAAAATAAATTTCCCGACCATTTTTTCGGCGACACTCAAGTAATCTGCCACATTTGTTTAGGTGGCATATATATGATGATGTGATAACTATAGTTAACCTCAGTCAATCCATTAAAAGGAGGGATTTTCAAATTAGGGTAAAAGTAAAGATGAAATTTTCTTAATTTGGCACTTCTTCTCCTTCTTCGTTCAAATTGGGAGTTCTTCATTGCTTGAGCTAAAGAATCCAGGTTCTCAAGCAATGGAGAAACCCAAATTTAATAGAAGAAGGAGAAGAAGCCCCTGAATTAAAAGCTCCCTCTTTTTTTACACTAATTTGAAAATATCTCCCTCTAACGGTTTGAATAAGGTTAACTACCATTGTCATGTCATCATAAATATGTCACATAAGCATCACGTAACAAATTATATGAGTGGTTGCTGGAGAAATTGTCCAAAAGTTTATTTTTTAGGCCTATAATTTGTCTCATCGTGTGCAAGTTTACATGTCTTATTATTGACGGAAATAATTTAAATACTAATCTAGTCATTGGGTATTACTTTTAATACTAATCTAGTAATTTAGCCAAAAAATATGTGTTACAGACGAACTCTATTAAGTCAAAGACTCTCTATTAAGCATCTTTTATGTTATTTCGTTAATAATTATGTTGAATCATCACACTTTGTTTGCCTTCTTTTTTATTAATCACCAATAAGTTCTTTATGCCTACCAACTTTAGGCTACAAAGATTAATAACTAATAAAACATATTGGCTATCTATCTTCTATTCATTGAGCAAATTAGAATACACAAGCCTACATATGATATATTTGATTGACTACAGAAAAGTTTGATTCCTTATATAAAATCCATATTAATTTGTCTTTTGATTGAGATTCCCTATTGGATTGAAAAACTGACTTATACAATCCCCATGAACTGAGATATTTAAACGATGTCTTTATATTGGCTTGTGATTTCATCTTGCTATTATAGCTTTTGTAATTTTGCATCTAATAACAATTGTTGCTATTCCGCCAAAATATCAGACATTTAACATTAATTTTTTATTTTAGTGACATTTGTAACTTTCGTGCAGTCTCCTTCGTACATGATATATTATTTACCATAAGTAAATAATAATAACATATTATTTACTAATATATTTACTAGTCCACTCTAAATAAGACAGCGGGTCGTATTCTTACTTAAGGAAATGTTGTGAATACAAATCATAATGTTCTTTTTTCTATCAAAGGAAAGAAAAAGAAATGAATCTGACACAAAACACCTATAAAGTGATAAAAAAAACAAGTGACATATTTGCTTTCACCTACTTCTAAACTCCCTCTATTTGTCATCCCCAAGCAAAAGAGACTGCACCATGGAATCAGCCATCCCATCTGCAAGAGGAAACATATGCCCAGCATCCTGCAACTCGTGATATCGAACCCAAGGGAGTTTTTGGCTTAGATACCGTGACGTGATGACTGATACTATTCGGTCTTCTGCACCGTGCCACAAATGAACTGAACCTTCGCCATTTGGAAACGGGTTCTCAAGATCCGTTGGGTCAAACTCCCAGTGCCCGAAACCCACCATCATGTCGCGGTGCAGGGAGTTATACTCTCCTTGTTGCAATATCTGATCCTGTGTGATTTCAAAGCAACAAAGAAAGAAAACTATATTGGAGGTTTTGCATGTTTGCTTTATTGTATATGAACTTTAATTTATAAAACCTGTTAATATTCCAATGGCAATTTTAATTTTTACAAGGATAAATTACTAATAGACCCTATGTAGTATTGTTGTTTTGAACTTACTACCCTTCCAGTTTATTTGCAGATAGATGCCCTAAGTGATTTCTCGACTCTTTTACCTTCAGGGGTTTTATTTGTCAAAATAACACTCCAATTGTAAATCTAATTTCTACAAGGGTTAATTTAAGAATAGACCTTCAGGGGGTTTATAATAAACCTCTTAATATTCCAGTAGTAAATCTATTTCTTACAAGGGTTTTAATTAAGAATAGAGCCTCTGTAGTATCGTCGTTTTGAACTTACTACTACTATAGTTTATTTGCAGGTAGAATAGAATAACATTTTAAGCTCAAAACAATTACAGGGGTCTATTAGCAATTGACCTTTTCAGAACCCAAGAGGTACAGAATGGGTATAAGCCAAATATACAAGGTACGATGCATCACTCATGAAAATGTATGTATCAACACCGATTGTTTCTGAAAGCAGTTTGGTTTTAGAGTTCATTTATTAAGGTAGATCAAACTTCGATTTAAGTGCAGCATTTCTAGGACAAAATTTCTCAGCTAAAACTTTTAAATTACAATTTCAAAATCAGAAAAGTCCACTTCGGCTTACATCTACCCAATGTTAGATATGACAAATAGATATTAAAAAATATCTTCAGATACAAGAAAAATGATGTCCCTAGACTAACACAAGTCGAGAACAACAGTGATAAATGAAAATTGTAGATATGGGTATGTTGAGTCTGTTTTATCCTCATGTCATTCTTTGTTATTAATGAGATAGATGGGGTTTGAGAGTTGTACCTGATAGTGAGGTCTACTTATAAACTTGGATAAAACTTTCAGGTCCCCAGGAGAGAAAAGTTCAGGACGCACAGCGATAACACTAGAAGCCGGAAACCATTTTTGGGTATTCCACCAGTAAGTCAACCAAGGAAGATGGTGAGCAACTCGGACAGCCCATTGATCGGGTAAGAGTTGCTCGTCCCAGGCCGCTTTTGATACATTGGCAACTGGCGCAAGAAGTGCTGCGCCTGCAAGCCTGTGGTGTTTTAGTAACCAACATTAGAAAAAGAAATAAAATGAAACAATAGATATAGTTTGATAATGTGTAGCAAGTATGCATCCAAGCTTGAAACGACAGATAATGTGTAGCAAATATGCATCCCAGCTTTTCATATGTAACATGTCTAGCTTTTCATATGTAACATGTCTGATAGCATTACAGATCTAGGTGATAAAATTCTCTACGTCAAGCTCCTTTTTTATTTGCATATCTGAGGTATAAAAACCATAGCGACTACATCGGAAATAATATTCTCACAATCAAAATCCCATTTTCATCAAGGATACAAAAACTATACTATTTTTCAGAAAACCATAGCAGATGACATAAATCTCCTAAATTAGCTGAGTTGTGAATATTGTGTGGATAATACAAAAACATATCTACACGATCTAGAGACATTTCGTCAGCACTGTTGCTTTTGCTATTGCTTTATAGTCTGACTTTTAACTTAACATCTTCTAAAATGACTATTTGTCCAATACAGTAAATGAAAAAAAGAGAAAAAATTCATACTGAATTTTAGATAATATCCTCCTAATGTAGCCTTATCCACTGCTGAATTAGGCTTCTCTTTTTTATTTAAAAATAGAATTAAAATTTTGACACTGAATTCTTGACACTGGCAAAGGTGTTTAAGAAACCAGTTATGTACAAGTTCGAGTCATACCTGTGAGGGATGTATTTCAGGCAACCCCAAATAACCTCTCCTCCCATTGAAAACCCGATCACATAGAATTTAGACCCGAACCCCAACTGATCAGCAAGTTCTTCAATATCCAAAGGTGTACTCTTCTCAGTCTTCTTCTCATCGGGATCACTCTCTCCATACCCTGCTCTATCAAAAGATACCAAATAGATTCCCAGTTCTTCAAGCACTTGCTGAAAGATAATTAAAAAAAACTCACCAAAATTAGCTTGATCTGATCTACATAACCACAAAGAACAGAGGAAAGAGACGATACCTGAGATATAGGAAGGGTATCGTGGCGGCAAGAGTAGAATCCATGAACGTAGATGATCTTATAATTAGCCTTTTCTTTTGGGACACCAGATTCTAAGTACGCTAAGTGCCTTCCATCCTTAAGCTTAATCCGAGATGCAGTAACTGGTGGACCTTCTGGCGATCCACAGATCTTAGGTGGTGGAGGCTGAATCGAACGGTAGGTCCATGCTGCTAAACCCACCAACAAAATTGCTGATAAATTCTTTAAGATAGCTGAAATGCCAATTTTAAATTCGTTAGTTGTGGAGAATAAATAGATACTTTAATATGACAGATTACCAGATGATGCCTGTTTCTTCTAGAGTACAGCAGCTTCTCACGATATATGTCAGATTTAATTCAAATCATGCACTTATGCCTACTTGACTGTGTATTTTACGAAATTGTTCAGAATTATCATGAGTTCATTGCAAAGTCATCATCAGGGAAATTAACTCCATGATAATTTGAACCAGTTATCCTTTGATTGTCACAAGCTAGATACTTGCATAGTCAAAGATTCCACATACATATACTATGTAGGCAATATTTACTCACAGAACTTATGGACATGACATTCACAAGCGCAACTATGGTCATCCAAAATATGGTCTCTCTTTATTTTGTTTATTTTCTGTACATGATGGACATATCTACACAGTGCTTAATTTGTTCACCATTATATTATTAATGGAAGGGAATTTTTCTCTAAAAGATGGTCAATAGGTGGAGTTCTCCACCTTGTACTGAAACATAGTAATTAACCGCTACCTGTCATCGGAGAAAATTCACAGAATTTATGATGACATCTTGCATTTCAATAAAATGCGCATGTCATTATACTTTCATGTGTTTGGTGCAGAGTCACGCCCTCACGTCACAGAAACGAAATGTCCTGAGAGAGAGCCCTGGCTTTTGTTGTCACAAAAGCACAAGTCAACCTCTATATTCTTGTTTCTCAAAGAAAACTAGAATAGATATTGAAATTATTATTTCTCAAAGGAAACAAGAATCGAAAGTGATATATTTCATCAAAGTAAAATATACACTCTTCCTCTTATCTATTCTAAGACTGAAATGTCGAGGGAACCTACAAGCTATAGCAACACACAGTAAAAGACGAGACAACAGATTTACGTGATTCGGCAAACTTGCTTACGTCCACGGGAGGGGGTTTTCACTATGAGGAGAATACCAAACTATTACAACTTTTCTCTTTCTCTCTCTTCTTTTTCCTCTCTACTCACTCAAGAGAATTTTCCCCACTTATTTTCCCCCCACACCTTTCTCTTCTCTCTTCCTCTCTATTTATAGACAAGAGAGAGGGATGGATGCCTTGCTGGAACCAGCTCACCAAGGAGAGCACGGAAGTATAGGGGGGCTGAGAGCATGGGAGCAATATAGGGGGGGCTGTGAGCATGGGGTACTTGTGTCCCCTCATGCTTGAGTCCACTCAAAGCATGGGCCACAGGTCCACTCACAATTCTCCACCTCGTTCATCATTTGATAAATCTTAAATTTTGAACGAACACCAGAAAAAACCCCACGAACATCACCAGAGAGATCCAGGTCAAAAAACCAGTCAAACTAGCTACGCCACTATACTACGACTGCCTACGAACCGTCCACCGGGATCAAACTAATCGTAGTTCTGTAATTATTCCCCAACATAGTCTCCACATCACCTCCATCACCGCCTCGCAGGGCCATGCCCTCTTGGGCAAATCAACACAGGTTGATATGAAGCAAGTCCAAGCAATGTTGGAACTTGCTACCTGTGACCACCTTGGTTAACATGTCAGCGGGATTCTCATTCGTATGCACCTTTATGAGAGAAATACCACCTTCCTCTATGACATCCCGCACAAAATGATATCTGACGTCGATATACTTGGTACGAGCATGATGAACTTGATTCTTCGCCAAGTGAATCGCACTTTGACTATCGCACCACAAGTTCACACTCTTCTGCTCAATCCCCAAATTTCTAGAAGACCCCACAACCACAATGCTTCCTTCACTCCCTCTGCCATGGTCATGTACTCGGCCTCTGTTGTAGAAAGTGCCACTGTAGCCTGCAACATCGATCGCCAACTAACTGAAGCCCCATGTATTCTGAATACATAATCAGTAGCAGATCGTCGTCTATCTAGATCACCCCCATAATCTGAGTCCACAAACCCGTCGATCTGACATGTATCTCCACCAAAACACAGACCCGTATCTGTGGTACCCTTCAAGTATCTCAGAACCCATTTCACCGCTTCCCAGTGCGTCTTTCTCGGATTCGCCATGAACCTGCTGACCACACTAACCGCCTGTGAAATATCTGGACGTGTACACACCATGGCGTACATCAAACTGCCAACTGCACTAGCATAAGGAATACGTTCCATGTATGTCTTATCTTCCGCTATAGTGGGAGATTGTTTACCTTAGAGCCTGAAGTGTGGAGTCAATGGAGTCACCACCGACTTTACACTTTGCATACCGAACCTCACGATCACCCGATCTATGTAGCCCTTCTGACTCAAGAACAATCGTCGATTCGTCCTCTCTCTTCTAATCTCCATACCCAGATTTTCCTAGCAGCGCCCATGTCCTTCATCTCGAATTCTTTACCAAGTTAAGATTTTAGTCTATCTATCTCCACCCTGCTCTTAGAAGCAATAAACATGTCATCCACATACAAAAGAAGATAGATATAATCACCTCATCGAAGCTTCCGAATGTAAACACAACAATCATAGTCACTTCGAGAAAACTCATACTTTAGCATGAATGAGTCAAATCGCTTGTACCACTGTCGAGGAGATTGCTTCAATTCATAAAGTGACTTCCTCAAGCGACATACATGATTCTCCTTATCCTCAACCTTATAGCCTTCAAGTTGATGCATGTAGATCTCTTTATCCAAGTCTCCGTGCAAGAATGTTGTCTTGACATCGAGTTGTTTCAGCTCAAGATCACAATGAGCAACAATACTCAATAGCACCCAAATAGATGTGTGTTTCACCACCGGAAAAAATATCTTATTGTAATCAACACCCTCTCTTTGTGCAAACCCCTTAGCCACTAGGCTCGCCTTATTCCTCGTACCACCGAGCTCTGAAGGGTCTTCCTTTCTTTTATATAGCCACTTACAACCTATAGCTTTCTTTTCTACGGGCAATGGGATCACCTCCCATGTTTGATTCTTCCGGAGAGATTCCATCTCTTCCTCCATCGCAGCCAACCAACTCTCGCTATCTTTATCCCAAATAGTTTCTTTGAAGGAGACCGGCTCATCTTCCTCCACCGAGAGTGCGTACTCAATTAAATTAACCTGCCCATAGTGCTTCAGGGGTTGATCAGCCCCCAGCTTCTGTACCTGCTTGTATGCTCGCCTTGGCCTAGTGGAAGCCAAGCTATCCTCGAGCTGTTGTTGCTGAACCTTCTCCTACTCAAGCTCATCATCTACCTGATTTTTCACTTGAACACGACTAGAACCTGGTTGGTCTTTAGGTTCTACCTCAATAACCTAGGATTTCGAATTCTCATCAGTCTCAACACCATCATCCTTGGGTACCCTAGCAATCATGGACTTCTCATCAAAGGTAACGTCTCTGCTGATCACGAACTTCGAATCTTCTGTACACCAAAGACGGTAGCCTTTTACGCCCTTTGCATACCCTAAGAAAATTACCTTTTTAGCCCTCGCGTCAAACTTTCCCTCGTTGACGTGATAGTAGGCGATACACCCGAAAATCCATAGCCTCTCATAATCTGCATGCTCCCCTGACCACACCCGATAGGGTGTATCACCGTTCAATGTCGAATGTGAAGATCGATTCACAATATAGCAAGTTGTAGCAATCGACTCTGCCTATCATTCTTTGCCCAAACCAACATATGATCGCATATTCACTGCTTTCTCCCGCAGTGTTCGGTTCAGTCTCTCCGCGATCCTATTTTGCTGTGGTGTAGATCTTACTATCCAGTGTCTGGCAATCCCCTCCTGATCACAGAACTCCTTGAAAGCACCGTCTGTATACTCTGTATCGTTATCAGATCTCAGTGTCTTTAATTTCTTACCCGTCCTGTTCTCAACCATCGCCTTTCACTTCTTGAATGTCTCAAATACCTCATTCTTATGCTTCAGGAAACAAACCCAAGCATACCTCGAATGATCATCTATGAATGAGACAAAATATCTGGAACCACTCTTGAAAGTTGTCGAAGCCGGACCCCAAACATCCGTATGCACATAATCTAGTATCCCTCTGCTCTTGTGCTTGCTCATCGGAAACTGGACCCTGTGCGCCTTTTCATACACACAATCCTCGTAAAAATCCATGTAATGTTTCTTCAGATTCTTTAGCAAACCCTCTTTACCAAGCAGATCTAGACTCTTCTCTGACATGTGCCTAAGCCATCTATGCCATAACCGTGTGTGCTTACATGGGTCTCCACCACTTTCATCAGTTCCAACCGCTGCATCTCCTGTCACCGTCGTACTCAAGAGAGTATATAGGTTGTCGTGACGAATGCTCTTCATCGCTACTAAGGAACCCCGAACAACCCTCTTCACTTCGTTTTCTGTTACAATCTTGTAACCCCCGGAGTCCAAAGCACCAACTGAGATAAGATTCTTCCGCAAGTCTGGAACGTGCCTTACATCCGTCAAGGTTTGAACCACTCCATCATACATCTTGATCTTGATATCACCAAGCCTCATTGTTTTACAAGCATGGTTATTCCCCATCAATACGGTTCCACCATCAATGCTCTTGTAGGTAGTGAACCACTTCCTATTTAGACACATGTGGTAAGAGCAACCAAAATCAAGTATCTACTTCCCGGAGGTATCCTCTCATCCGTGACGATATAGCATTCTTTATCACTCCCTTCCTCTGAAGCATAGCTCACTTCTTTCTTGTCTTCTCTTCTCTCAGTCTTGTTGTTATTCTTCTTCCCACCTACTCTCCTGTTTGGACAGTCGACCTTAAAATGCCCAATTTTACCGCATTTGAAGCACGCTTTTCCCGCAAGAGGTCTCGATTTAGGTCTAGACTTTCCTCCCTTATCTTTTCCTCGCTCATTGCTCCTTCCTCTAGCAAACAATCCTTGCGCTTGTTCTTTGTTACCACCAGTAGTCATGTCACTGGTTGCAATCTTCCGAAGATCATCCGCTAGAAGCGTCATTCTAGTCTCATCCATCGTTAAATTATCTCCCACAAGCATCAGTATTTGCACCAGGTTCTCATAAGATTTCGACAGAGATAGTAGTAGAAGCGCCTGATCCTCGTCTTTTACAGTCACATCGATGTCCTTCAAATCCGATATTATCCTATCGAACTTGTTGATGTATTCCCGGATTGATGAGCCTTCCTTCATCTTGTAAATATACAATTTGGATTTTAAATAGATCCGGTTCGTTAGACTTTTTGTCATGAAAGTGTTCTCTAACGTTAACCATACGCCCGCAGCCGTTTCCTCTCCATCCACCAAGAAAGCCACATCCCTTTCAAGACATAGGATAATCGACGTTCGTGCTTCCAAATCTAGCTCTTTCCAATCCTCATCACACATGTCCTTGTGCTTCTTCTCTTTTCCAGCTAAAGTTTTGTGCAACTTTTGTGAAATCAACGAGTTTTTCATCTGCATCCTCTAATAGGAGAAATCATTCTTCCAATTGAACTTTTCGATCTCGTACTTTCTAACTTTAACTGTTTTACTTATTGACGTCATTCTCCGCTTGTATAAATAAATCCGCTTCTCTCAGGAATTTTCAATAAATACATTGTGTTCACCACACAATAATCAACCACCACCTCAGATCAGTAGCTCAACCACCGTCAATCTGAATAAGCGCTCTGATACCAATTATTGAGCGCAGAGTCACGCCCTCACGCTACGGAAGCGAAATGTCCTGAGAGAGAGCCCTGGTTTTTGTTGTCATAAAAGCACAAGTCAACCTCTATATTTTTGTTTCTCAAAGAAAACTAGAATAGATAGTAAAATTCTTATTTCTCAAAGAAAACAAGAATCGAAAGTGATATATTTCATCAAAGTAAAATATACACTCTTCCTCTCATCAGTTCTAAGACTGAAATGTCGAGGAAACCTACAAGCTATGGCAACACACAGTAAAAGACGAGACAACAGATTTACGTGGTTCGGCAAACTTGCCTACGTTCACGGGAGGGGGTTTTCACTATGAGGAGAATACCAAACTATTACAAGTTTTCTTTCCTCTCTCTTCTTTTTCCTCTCTACTCACTCAAGAGAATTTTCCCCACTTATTTTCCCACCACACCTTTCTCTTCTCTCTTCCTCTCAATTTATAGGCAAGAGAGAGGGATGGATACCTTGCTGGTACCAGCTCACCAAGGAGAGCACTGAACTATAGGGGGGGCTGAGAGCATGGGAGCAATATAGGGAGGCTGTGAGCATGGGGTACTTGTGTCCCCCCATGCTTGAGTCCACTCAAAGCATGGGCCACAGGTCCACTCACATCATGACATATTACTGCTTACTTCTAAGATTAAAAAGAAAGTTAAATGAACTCTTCCTGGCCACGAAAATGCATTGACATTGCTATACATGACAACATCCCCAGCATTAAAATTTAAACCCGTGTCGTCTTAAAGAACACAAATGAGGATGATGATGGAGATGGTGATTTGAACCTACCTCCCATAGATGATTAAATTACCACGGAAATTCACATAATTTATGAAATTGTTTTAAGCATACTTCGTTGTCATTTGGTCCGCTCATTTACTCAGCTTGCATCACAATTTAGGTTGATTAAGACCCCATTTAGCAAAAGGGGATTTTTTATTTTTTTATTTATTTCTTATTTTTTATTTTTTTATTTTTGAAATTACCTCAAAGAATTGAAAAGTAAACTATCATAGAAAACTATGGGAAAATAAATCTCTTTAAATGTTGTAATTCATTGTATGCGAGCGCCAATCTCCTTATGATTAGGAAAAAGAGGAAGAAAAAAAAATCAATCCCTTCTTCGAAGAAAATATTTAGGAAAAAAATTTCAGAAATCACACGGTACATACGTATACGAAATATCAATGGGTTGCAGATAAGACCCAGATCTTAAAATATCATCCGTTCCTGTCCTTATAACTTACATAGCAAATCGAGAAGAAATTAAACATACCAAGAAAGTAACAGGGTTTTTTTTTTTTGTTTAATGTTAGAGAATAATTTAAGGAGAGGAGGAGGAGGAGGGCGTTGGATGAAAATATTACCAGGAGAAGAGGAGGAGGAGGGTCGTTTGGACATTTTGTTTCTGGTGTGAGACCTCGCTGATGCCGCTGAAACTTTCCTGCCGGCTGCTGCCATTGCTCCTCCAAGACTTTTCTCCTCTCTCTCTCTCTCTCTCTCGTCCTCCCTCTCTTTGCTACCAATGCAATTATCTAAAAATAAGAAATGGAGATGGTGAAAATTTTCAAGTAAACGATGCACGTGCTGTTGAAGTAATATTAAGGGTAAAAATGTAATCTTACTTGAGGATCGGTTTGGATAAGGGGAGGGCAGAGGGCTGAGAGGGGGTGGAAAGTAAAAACGGTGGAATGCCTTCATTTGTGTTTGGATGGACAACGAGGGGATGAGAGGATACAATATAATATGTGTTTGTATAGAGTATCGGATAGGAAGGGAATGGTAGCTACTTGACTAGTATGTTTTTTTAGGGGCTGTTTGGTTCGTTTCCTTGATATAGAGAAATGCAATTCCATGTAAAGAAACACAAGTTTTGAGTTTTCCAAACTTTTTCAAGAAATAGATCGTTTTGCTTTGGTTCACACATAAAAAATGGTGGGAAACCAATGTATTTATTTTTCTTGTGTTTGGTTCACATAGAAAAAAAAGGAAAACTTTTGTAAACAAAACAGAGAAGGAAAAAAATCTGACGTGGCAGAGTTTTTATCAATTTCACTTGGTTGCGGAAGGAAATCGGAGAGGGAAAAAAATCTTAGTTGGCGGCGATTTCAGCAGAGTTTTCTCTCTTCCATTCGAGCGAACCAAAGCGGCACAAAGAAATGGACGAAAACAAAAAAGCTGACGTGGAGGGCTAAAAATCTGACGTGGAGGGGTTTTCTAAGTTTTCCACCCCTTATAATAGCGAACCAAACAGCCCCTTAATAAAATAGGAAAGAACGCCTTTTGATTTTCTTATATATGGTAATATTTGAATTTTAAGAAAATTTCACTTGAAATCCCTCCCCTCCCCTGCTAATCTGTCCACTTTTAGAGGATTAAGAAAGTAGCTGAATTTTCTAATTTTCATCCTCCCCTCTTCTACCCTCCTTTTGCTAACTAAAAAGTGTAAAAAAACACAATGCTACGAGGGTTAGTATTGTAAACCTCCCCCTCTCTCACCATCCCCTGCTAAAAAAACTCTATCCGAACACTAAAGAAATGTCATTTCTTCATAACAAGTTGGTTAATCTTTAATGGTCTCTTAGAGCATCTCCAATGATATACTCTATATTTAGAGGGTTTGAAGAGAATATTCTTCAAGATTCCTCAAATATAGAGGGTTTGTAAAAGTTGTGCTCCAATGGTGCCCTCTATATTTATATGAATTAATCTATCATTAACAAACTAATAATGTAAATAAAATAATTAAAACTTATCATTTTTTGTACAAAAATTATACCTTTAGAACCGTCTCGCTGAAACATTTTAAATGAGATTAATATTGAATATTTTTAGAGTTATTTTTAAATTAGTTTATTTTAATATAATAAAATAAAAATATTTGTTAATAAAATATTTTTAAAATTAGTTTATTTTAAGACGATTCCTCGCTCGACATAGGAAAATCCAAGATCGGGAGGCTCACTTTGAACTTCGGAATGCACTTATTGAACATTTATGGCAAAGACATGGTAATGGAATAATATATTTTTTTTTAAGCTTGATGTATTTTAAATTCTCTGTACTTCAATATTTCATAATGATAAATTTAAAATTAATATTAAAAGTATTAAATATTAATCTCACTTTGAAGGTTTCGGCAAGACAATTTCAATGATATAAATTTTATTTAAAATAGACGAGTAAATTTAAAATTATATTAAGCTAAATAATTAGTTTAATTATATTTAAGGATACAATTGGTATTTATGAAAAGTTATAATGAGATGGGAAGATAAAATTAGAATTAAAATATATGAATAGTATTATAGAGGGCACCCTCTATATGAGCCCAAACCCTTCAAATATAGAGGGTTACTGTAGCACCCTCTTAATATAGAGGGTGCTACAGTTGCACCATTGGAGCCAATGGTATTCCATTTATAGAGGAATGGAGTACCATTGGAGATGCTTTTATATGTTTTATATATGTACTTGTTAAAAAACAATGAGAGGTGTACAAAAAGTGAGGAAAGAAGGACATTTATCCATTCCTCAATGTAACATTAGGGGTAAATTTGGAATCTCACATCCAACCAATGACTCTCTCTCCCTCTCTCATTTAAAAATAAAAATATCAAATTTATAACTTTCTTAGGGTGCGTTTGGTTCCCATTTTTTTCTGTGAATCACTGACACAATGTCAGAAATGTGTTAGATTTCATCCCAAAACGCTTTTTTTTTGGCGATTTGGGGTGAAACCTGCCACAGATGGGACACTATGGCAGGCTTTCCCCTTCTTTCACCCTAAAAAATCGGAACCAAACAGCCCCTTAGAACCTTGCTTGAATGCAAAGAGTAAAAGTTATGACCTATTATGCAAGCAACATTAAAACCATACCTCATAAGTTCCTTGAAGAAATGGATTAGAACATTATTGAATGTTCTTGAATGCAGAGAAGAAAAGTTAAAAACCTATCTTGCTAGAAGACGTTGAAACTATCCCAAAAACAAATTAAATTTTCCAAAAGACAATTATTTATATCTTCGGAGAAGTAAATTAAAAATAAAAAAACAATTTTTGCTCAATTTTAACTTTTAGAAATACTTTTTTGAATCCTGATAGTCCACTAAATATTAGACAACTGAGACTAAAGGAAAGTTTCATACAGAAGAGAGAAATATAATTTTATTTCGATTTTCTAAATCTAGATTATGATTACATCTATTATTTATTTATGTTTACAACATAAAATTTGGAAAAGATCATTTCAAAATAGTAACTACGTGCATTTGCACATGCAAAGATGCTAGTATAATATAAAATGCATAAAAAATATGAGAGTAATGATAACTACACTATAATTTATACGCGACTTCTATGCTGGGCACTGCCGGCTGTGCGTTAGTAAATGTTAATTATGTTGGAAAATGAAAGCTGCGTAGAACAATATTAACTTTTATAGTATCTAATTAACTTGTGAAAAAGCATCTTCATCTCCTGGTGTTTTTTCCCCATCCGTCTTTTCGTATTGTGAAACAAACAGACAATGAGGACTGAATCTAATTAACTTTTATAGTATCTAATTAATTTGCAAAAATAAACCTATTTTGCTAAATATTTAGCAAAATAGACCGTTTTGCTAAATATTTAGCAAAATGGACCTCTTTTTGGCCAACGGGCAAAAAAGAGGTCGATTTTGCAAAACAGACCATTCGAAATATATGGGACTAGTAGTCCCGTATGATTTAATGGGGGATTAAATCATACGGGACTACTAGTCTCGTATGTTTTAAATGAACTGTTTAGAAAAATCGATCTTTTTGGCCAACCGACCAAAAAGATGTCTATTTTGCTAAATATTTAGCAAAACGGTATGTTTTGTTAAATATTTAGTAAAATAGGTCTATTTTGCAAATTTTTCCTTCATAGTAATTGGCAAACCATCAAGGACAAATTTTTAAAACCGACCCCTTTGGGTTTTTAATTGCAAAAAACGACTCATTTCAATCTTATTTATAAAAACCGACTCACTTGGTTGAAACTGAGTCGATTTTTGAAAAAAAAATTTCCCAAACTTCACGGGAGTTCAACTCCCGTGGAGTTCAACTCCTGTGAAGTTTTGTTATGAGAAAAACTTCACAGGAGTTCAACTCCCGTGAAATTTCCCAAAAAAAATTAAAAAAACCGACCTGTTTTCAGCCAGGGGCTGAAAACAGATCGGTTTTTGTAAATATTTTTAAAACCGGTCGTTTTTTGCAATTAAAAACCCAAAGGGGTCGGTTTTGAAAATTTGTCCAACCATCAATCATTCAATATGGATCAAGTAGTTCAATTTTCTTTAAATTACTCAATTTAAAAAAGTTTACTTGATATATAAATTTTACCCACGCACATAATCTATTACTTCAAGGATATATGTATACGTGCTTCGCTTGTAATGTATTTGGATTCTGAATTTTTCTCTGTTGAGTTTCAAATGGTTCTGCGAGATAGACATCATCGGTTCTAATCTATCGCTCATGCTCGGCTGCCTTGAGTCGCCTTAAATAGCATGTATGCTATATCCACTCCCAAACAGTAATTTTGGGAGTTGGATTGCCGAAAATACCATTTTGATGTTGAGGGTGTTTCTGGAATGGACTTGGCCTGTTTTGGTCTGGGAGAAGGGTAATTTTGTCCTCACACACCCCCAAAGTTACTGTTTGGGAGTGTGAATAGTTGCACCCATCCGATTAAATTATTCTTAATTGGAGTAATTTATATATATTAAAAATACATTTTTTTTAGATATATAATATCGTGGGGCATAGTATGATATATTAAAAAGTACTTACTCCCTTATTGTTGCTGACCACAAAGTTTGTAAGTTCTGTAAACATTTTTGTTGTTTGCGCGTGTCGCTGTTGGAGAACAAGTCGAGCATTATTATTCTTCACGAGGGTTGCCTCTAGCGCGAGCTCTGAGGGTTTTTTTTTCTTCGTTTTTTATTTCAAAAAGAATAGATTTTTATTATTATTATAAATTTAGTGAAAATGCTCAAAAGAAAAATAGTTTCAAAATAATTTAAATTAATCTCCTTTTGAACTAGCTTACGAGTCCGAACTCAACCCCATAACTTTGACACATCACATGAATAATCATAAAATAATTAAATAATTTGGAAGTATCTGTCGATTTTTGTTCTTTAGCATTAAAGGTGGAAATCCACAACTATTTTTTCATTAATAAATAAACCCAACTATCAAAAAAGAATAAAATAACCGACCTTTTTGTTAAAAAAGCCAGCGTAGATATTTATACTTCGTACACGCTCCAAATATTCTAAAGAACTCAAACCTAAGGGAGTGTTTGGTAACTAACGCGTTTTTGCCGTTTCCTTTTTTGTCAAAAAAGAATGAAACATGTTTGGTGAATAAGATGGTTTTTTGACCTCACCCATTAAAAAGCCCAAAAATAAACATTTTTCTCAAAACAACAAAAAGATGTTTTGAGTTGCCGTGATTTTTTTTTCACCAAAGCTGATCCCCTTTTCTCCCCCCCAACCCTAACAGCTCGTTGCCACCTCCGACTCGTCGCTGCCGCCTCCAACTCGTCGCTGTCGCCTCCACGTCGTCAGCACCGTCGCTGCCGCCACCT